TTTAAAAAATAAACACTAACCTTATCGACCTCCCACCATGCAGGATAAAGTTTAGCTTGTCCATTGCCCAACGAAAATGATTCATCTCGTTGATTCTTCAAGTGAACTGCGTGAAAAGCCTCCGGCATTATTGTATATCACGAATTTTTTTTATTTTTCCTAAGCTTCCTTATTATTAGTAGACGTGACACCCACGCATCGATATGCTGTTTTACAAAAAAAATACATATATTAGTGAATTACATTAATTTTTAAAAAAATTAATCAAAATCATATATAAGACAAATATAAGACTTACCTCCCCATCGAAATAGCCACTGTCTTCAACCCCTAATAGCACACCCCACCAAGACCGATCAAGCAACAAAAACATTTCATCGTTGAGTTTGCTTATCTCAGTGTAACACCCTTGGCTCCGCTCATGTAGATAAAAATCAACTGCGGTCTTAGCCCAAAGGGTTTTATCCACAATTGTTTCCGGTAGTTGTCTCCTCTCCACTTCAGATACCAGAAGGGTACTAGCCGGTAACTCATACGAGAGCCAACTCTCATCCATCATGTCCGGAACCGGTGGGGGTTTCTCAATACTTCGATATATTACCCCATGTGAATCGGACTCTGGAATGGTGGGAGGGACCTCTTCAACGATGACAGTGGCCTCTTGAACGGTGGGGGGACTCTTGAGGGAGGATAGGGGCCTCTTGAACGATTGGAGGGGACTCTTGAGGGATGACAGGTGAGTCGGGCTTCTTCTTGCGGAGTCTTCGCACCATTGGGGTGAACAGAGAAGTAATAGCATGTCCACGCCATCTGATGTGTGAACTCCGTCGTGCAAGGAAAACCCGACGTAAAACATCCACCTTATCGGGCCGCTAAAAAAAAATTAATACATAAATCAGTAAATAAACAGACATGATATTAAACAAAGACAAATATGTTTCAAACTAGCATTGTATTCACCCAAGTCATTATTCTATCATAGTTCACAAAATGCTCAGATAACATTCCAGAAGTAAGCACTTATATAAACATTTAAAAGGACAACATATATAAACATTCCAGAAGAAGAATAGTTTACTTTCGCAACACGAAACTTAAAATCGCAACGCAAAAATGACTATCGCAATGCGGAAATGGCTATCGCAATGCGAAATGAAAATCGCAACGACAAAATCGCAATGCGAAATGAAAATCGCAACGAGAAAATCGCAATGCGAAATGAAATCGCAACGACAAAATCGCAACGCGAAACACAAATCGCATTGCGATTTTCATTTCGAGTTGCGATTTTGTCGTTGCGATTTCATTTCGCATTGCGATTTTGTCGTTGCGATTTTCATTTCGCATTGAGATAGCCATTTACGCGTTGCGATAGTCATTTTCGTGTTGCGAAAGTAAACTATTCTTCTTCTGCAAATTGAAACTTGAATGGATTGCATTACTTCAACCAAAAGACAAAAACAAAACCAAAAACAAATACTAACAAAAACATTTTAGCAGTATTGGCAGCAACCGAATGAATTACGAGTATGAAAAATCTTAAACTTACCTCGTTGCGTAGAGTATGAACCTCATTCTGCAACGATGCTACCATCTCACGTAGAGCGGCTACCTCACCGCGTAATGTAGACACCTCAACACGCCATGCACCATCGTCTTTGCGTAAAGTATTGACCTCCTCACGCAAGGCATTGACCTCATCACGTAACTCCCCTAACTCATCCCGTTGAGGTGGAGAATAGGGAGATAAACGTCGTGGCATCTTTGCCGGTCGCCTATCTTGCGGTGATGGTGGAGAAGAGGCTCGATGATGTGACAGAATAGGTGATGGCTGTCGTTGTGGAGGTGTATAGTCGGGTCGATCGGATGATGGCTCTGGGTGAGGTGATAGCTCTGGGCGAGGTGATAGCTCCCGAAGTGGAGGATGCTCATCAACCGTTCCATCAAAAAAACGCTTACTAGCTTGCCACCAATCAGTGGCAAGCTCAGCTTCCGTGGGTGTCAGCCTCTGTAGAGGAGTGTTGGCCTCCTAACAATATAAAAGCTCAAAGAAAGTTAAACGTGTACTAGTAATAACTTGTTTATAAACATATGGTAGTATTTATGTTAACTTACATTATTTATTGTCGTATACCGTAGTAAATCTTCCCATTGCAAGGTCCGTTTCCTCTTCTAGGAAATAGCCCTGGGAATATCATTTTGAAGTTTTTATTGCATATGTCTTCATGGCAGGAAAGGCCTCAAATATCCAAATCTACAAACAATATAATAACAAACATTAGTAATTGTTAAATAATTACTTATAATTTTGGAAACATTATATAAAAATTCTTACCTTAAAGGCCCAAATAAAGCCTGCCAAAGTGTATTTGGAACCATCGCCATGCAAACTTTTTCGATCATCCAAGGCAGACGATAACTTATTCCATGTAGCTTTCCATAAATACGAGCCCCACGGAAATAGGTTCCACGCATTTAGGTCTTCTACCAATTTGATTAGATCATTTGGAATAGGTTGTCTGGCCTCTCTGCCTAAAAAGCCGGCATTCAAAAGAATTAGAAGGCATACTCGGACAACGTCGACGTCATCCATCCGAGTAAAACCATCTTTCTTATTCAACAATCTTGTCAGGTCTTCTATGTGTAGATTCGGCCTCTCCAGCTCAAGAAAAACTCGGGATAGCCATGATGGGCGGGTAATGTGTCTAGTGTACCAACCTACATCATCGTGTCCGAAGCGTAGACCGGTGATTAAGCAAAACTCCTCCCGCCCAAAACACGTATACGCCGATGGAAAATCAAACCATATCTCTTCATCACGACGTTGTATAGTCTCTGGTAGATCGCTAGTCATGGTTTGAAGAAACAGGTGTGTCAACATCGCATCTCCACCGGGATGTTGTACTTTCAACCATGGCCCGAAGCATGTATCCTCAAACATTTTTCTTTGTGCAGGTGAAAGCTTCGACGCAATTGTTTTGGCCAGGCTGACTTTATTTCTTAAGGTCAATTGAGCCGAATAAAAGTTCTACAAAAACAATAAACATACTAAGTTAGATATACCAAAAACTACACTGTGAAGATATACCAAAAACAATAATAAACATAAAGAGTAGTAGTTTATTCTTCAAACTTAAATTTGCAACACTGTGAATTTCGTATTTGTCTTTGTTTTTTGGTTGAAGTAATGCAATTCATTCAAGTTTCAATTTGCATAAGAAGAATAGTTTCTGAAAATAAAAATCGCAACACGAAAATGACAATCGCAACGCGAATTTGACTATCGCAACGAGAGAATCGCAACGCGAAACTAAAATCGCGTTGCGATTTGCATTTCGCGTTGCGATTCTCGGTTGATTTAATAAGCAATCTAAGTGAATGGTTAATCTATTATTGAAATTACCAGTAAACTTATCATCAATTTCAATATGAAAACCTAATAATAATGCAAAAATTTCAAAAAGAAAATAATTAAAAAAACAAACCCTCGTTGGTTGATTTGGTTGATTTTCCATTTCTGATTGTGAGGGTGGCTCTGAGAGATAGAGATAGACGGATTTTGCCGGAGATGGGGACAGATTTCGTCGGAGATGGGTGAGAGAGTGAGAGATGGAGATGGGACTGAGTTGTGATTTTAGGTTTTAGGTTATGAGTTGCGATTACGGGATATACTGTGGACGGTTCAGTGTTCCAATATATTAATATTCGTGTTTGGAATTTAAAAATAAAATACTTGGCCAGGATACTAATGGCGCTTTGAAAATCACATTGCGATTATGTATTATCGCGTTGCGAAAGTCAGAATCGCGTTGCGAAAGTCAGTATCTCGTTGCGATTTTGTATTATCGCATTGCGATAGTAAGTATCGCATTGCGATAGTCAGTATCGCATTGCGATTTTCTCAATTCGCGTTGTGATTTACTTATTCGCATTGCGAATTGGGAAAATCGCAACGACACTGTAGACCATCGCAACGCGATTTTCAACTATCGCAACGTGAAATGCAACGCGAATTTGCGATAATGGAGATCGCGTTGCGAATTAGTGATCGCATTACGATTTTGTTGGTCATTTTGGCAAATCCGAAAAAAATTGGTTAAAATCGTATATTATATGAGAATTTTGGTCACTGGGGCGATTTTCTCTTTAAAATTTGACTCTGGTAAGCTTTAAGAGATATTTTCATTATTTTATTACATTGGCAGTTTCTAGCCTAGGTTGTAGAGGCATAACTGGCCATACCTTTGATCATGAGTTCTAGGCCTAGTAACCTCAACTTCTTCGTCTTTTTAATTTTCATATTATATAAGCGAGGGTGAAATTCAGCCCTAACAATTTTGAAATCCTACAAATTGGTCCTTAAAATTAATTAAATAAATTCAAACTAGAAACAATAAAAATCGGGGGTGTTACATTCAATATTTAATTTGGATTTGAACATAAAAATCCTAAGCTCATGTGTTTTAGAGTCGAGTCAAGTTGAGCTTCAATTTTTATTTCGAGTTCGAGTCGTGATAGACAATTTTAAGCTCGTGAATTTTTGAGTCGAGCTCAACTCACCTCATTTACAACCCTAGTTGGAAGGGTGAGGGTGGGGATTGTATTTTGAGGTTTGAGTATAATTTAAGGATTTATCGTTTGAATATAAGTTTTGAATGTATAATTTAAAAATTTTAAATTTATTTTATTGTAATCTTTTGTTGTATTAAAATATTAATAAAATATGATATATTATATAAAAATAATAAAATAATTCATATAATTGTATAAAAATAAAGTTAATATATAAAATTTAATAATTAAATTAAATATTTTATAGTATAATGAATAATATAGGAGTAATGATATAATTATGGTTAAATATGTAATTCATCCTAAAATATATTTAATTTTGTACAAATCGCTTTGGACAGGAGTCCTACTACATCTGATCCAACCCATGCACAGTATTTAGTCATTTATAGAACTCTGAAGATTCAATATAGAATTCAATGAAATTTTAACAAGTAACCACCGACTCTAAGATTGGATTATACAAAAATAGAAATCTGGTCTTCGTTTCAAAGCTGAAGACTCTCCTTCTTGTCCTTCAATGGCTGACCCCTGTCACCGACCACCGACACCGAGAGGAACAACGAAGACGACAACATTCTCAGTCTTAACCACAAGAAACAGGGTGACTTTCGCTTTTACTTTCACTATTGTTTTCGTCATTGGTTTGACAGCTTTCTTATTTCTCAACCCATCTTCTTTCTCTTCTACTCGCCTTCAAAGCTTCTTCAAAAGTTCTTTTTACGGATCCAACTTTTCCTCCCATTTCTTTCACTTTCTCCCCAATTCTTCCCAACCCAATCACTACACACTTCCCCTTTCTCAGTTCCGGGAAAACCCTTTTCAGATTTCCAAGGAATCTGAAAGATTTCATGGAGAAAATGATTTTTCTTTTTCAAGTGAAGTTTTCAATGGAAAAGATGGATCATTTAAAAGTGAAGACAGTGCTAATGAAACTAGCAGCCATGGAACCCCTTCTCAGCATGATGGAAGCATTGATGAGCTACTTGAGAAGCAAAGGAAGGGAAATTTGGTGGAAGTTATAAATCAGTGTAGAATATTTGATGGGAAATGGGTGAGAGATGAATCTTACCCTCTATATCCCCCAGGGTCTTGTCCATATATTGGTGAGTCTTTCAATTGTTTTGTTAATGGTAGGCCTGATAGGGGCTATGAGAAGTACAGATGGAAACCCAATGGATGCATCTTGCCAAGGTAATTCACCAAGTTCTCCTATTTAGATTTACATATTGTTGGTTCATTTATCTGTAAATGGGATGTGCTAATTTGCATGTAGAGTTATGTTTGTTGAAAATGATCTTGTCTTGGTTAGATTGAATATGGGTGGAGTTCATGCAAATGAATTTGTGCTAATTTGCATCTATAGGGGTGGTTCTAGTTTATTGTTTATATATATATATATAAACTACATTTGAACTAGAAACATGGAACTCAGGTGAAACAGCTTATGCTCGTTGAAAATGATCTGCTTATCTTGGTTAGATTGAATATGGGTGGAGTTCAATCAAATGAATTTGCATCTATAGTGGCAGTTCTAATTTCTTCATGTTCATATGTAGTTTTGTTTATAATGTTTGTTGGAAATGATTTTCATATGTATACATATTACTTATTTATTGTTAGCTTTTGCCTTAGATTGGTTTTGGGTGGAGTTGTCATGCAGATTGAATGGCAAACATATGCTGGAATTATTGAAAGGGAAGCATGTAGTTTTCGTTGGTGATTCACTCGGTCGGAATATGTGGGAATCTCTGATTTGTGTCCTTAAAAACTCTGTTGACGATAAAAGCAGTGTTTTCGAGGTCTCGGGTAGGGAGGAATTTGGAAAAGTGGGTTCTCACTCCATTGCATTCAAAGTATGTTTGTCCTTTACCCTTAGACTAATTTCTAAGTTGCATTAAGTGAGGTCTTTTTGTGTTTTATATGCTAATTTAAGATGAATGAATGAACAGAGTTGGAATTGCTCTATTGAATACTTCCGATCTGCATTTCTAGTTCAAGAATGGGAAAATGTCGGGAGAGACGGATCAAAGAAGGAAACACTCAGAATTGATACGATCGATCAATCATTTAATAAGTACAAAAATGCCGATATTCTCGTTTTCAATACCGGACATTGGTGGACTCATGATAAAACTAAGAAGGGGTACCCTATACGCTACCTATTTGTTCATTTGAGAAGATAGATAATCTTAAGTAGGAGCTCTTAACGGTTTCAACCAATTTGCAGGAACGGTTACTATCAAGAGGGGAACACCATCTATGATCGATTGAATGTTAAAGTAGCGTTCCGAAAAGCTTTGGCTACATGGGCGAAATGGATAGATACTAATATAGATTCTATGAAGACCCTTGTTTTCTTCAGGGGCTTTTCTGCCTCACATTTCAGGTAAATCAAACATCGAAAGGATATGTTAGGTTGAAACCCTTCATTCATAAACAAGTGCCTTCAATTTGTTTTGCTTGTTCCCAGGGGTGGAAGGTGGAATTCTGGCGGGCAATGTGACGGTGAAACTGAACCTATCACAAATGAGAAGTACTTGAAGAAATATCCGTCAAAGATGCGGATTTTTGAGTCAGTGATAAATGGCATGACTACACCGATCTTGTATCTTAATGTTTCTAGAATGACTGGCTTCCGGAAGGATGCCCATCCGTCAATTTACAGGAAGCAGAACTTAACTGAGGAAGAGAAAAGTTCACCTACTAGAATCCAGGATTGCAGCCACTGGTGCCTTCCTGGTGTTCCCGATACTTGGAATGAGCTAGTGTACGCTCAGCTCCTTATCAAACATGATCGTGATCGGCAACAACTTCTGAATCAAGGACAAGAACAGAGAAAATCCTAGGTAAAACTAATGCAATGGAACTTTTTAAATCAGTGTTTAGTCCCCAGCTTTGTCTTGATTGATTTGTGTATGTTCTATTCATAGGTGTAAAGTTCGAGTCGGAGAAGTGAAACAATGTCATTCTTTGGAGAGGAAAAACCGTAAAATCTGTAAATTTTAATTGTTCACAAGTTTTTTACGAGTTTTGTTATAGAACATAGGGTTTCAGCTAATTGCTTTGAGTGTACAAAGTTTTCGGAAAACGAGTTTCACTTTTTCACTGAGTGTATAAAGTTCAGAAGATTGTGTTAACCTTGAAGACAATATTTACTTTCGGTATTACACTAATTTGGATTACACCAATTTGGGTGTACGTAAGTGGACGTTGTCCTTCAAAGTTGGTACATTTTGTTAAACTTTGTAGGTCCGAAGTGAGGAAGTAGAATCCATTTGCATTATTATTTTTTTCAATAAATTCTTTCAAAAATAAAAGAACAAAACCAAAAAATTTATAGCAAATCCCTTTTAGAAGAGTAGTAGAGGGATAAAATTGCTAAGGTTCGTTTGTTGTGGTTTTTTAAAACCACTTGGATAAAAATCCGGTCAAATTTTTTAAAGCATTTTCAGTTAAAAATTTCGTTTTGATAGTAAGATTAATGTCAAATGAGTAACAAATAAAAAAAAGTACGCTAGAAACATTGATTTTAAATCAACCGTAAAAGTTAGGATTTATAACTTTTTCATTTTTTAACTTTGCGTTTGGAAGAAAATAATGATTTTACCCTTATTTGTATGGACTCCATTCAATTATATATTTAAATTTTATTTTAATAATTTAATATGAACGTCCTTAAAAAATAATTTCACTTAATAATTTATTTTAATTGCTTAAAAATAAATAAAATTCATGATTTATATATTATAATATTAATAGTAAGTTATAAAATATATTTTTATTATAATTATATCTTTATTTGTATTTTTATATTTTTATTATAGTTTAAATTGATATAATTCATATATAATAATATTTTTTTAATTTATTATAGTTTAAATTGATATGATTCATATATAAGTATAAATATAATTCAAATGCTATATTTTTAACTTACAACATAATGTTTATAATGGACATTTTATCTTCTCAAAATCACTTTTAATGGTAATTTCAAACAATTAATTTTTTATAGTATTTTTATAAGTTACTTTTCAAATTACACCAAACTAACCCTAACAAGATGTAGGGAATAAAATCCGAAATACGAGTTGTACATTGTTTGAATGACCAGTGACAACCACAAGTATTCACTTTGCATCAGCCCACTGCACACTTATTAGTTTTGGTATTCAAATTTTATTTTTATTATTTTCGTTTTAGCACTTAAATTATATTTTTAAAAGTATATCTAACATTTAATTTAGATTTTAGTTTTGTACTTCGTTGTAAAAAAATGAATGTAATACCCCAAACTTTAGTTAGTGATCAAAATGTAAATTTTGAAAGTTTGGTGGCCAAAGTACAAAGATTGGAAAAGTTTAGGGATTAAAAGGGTAAGTTTCCAAAAGTTTAGAGACCAAAAGTATAATTTTCAAAAGTTATATATTTTAGCTGGTAAATGAATAGTTCACCCCAAGAATGAAGTTCGGGTAGAAATTAGATTCTTGATCCGAAAATTGTGTTAAAAGCTACAAAGTGTTAAAGTTCGGTAAAAATTCGATAAATCGGATCGAATAGAAATTCATGAAAAAACTAAAGGTTATTAAATCAAACTTATAAATACTATTTACACATGTTAAAATGATAAAAAAATAATGGTAACAATTGGATTTGAGAATTTATCTTCATGTTCATTTTGGATCATTGGATGAAAAATGCACACTTGTTAGTTTTGGTATTCAAACTTTAGTTTTATTATTTTCGTTTTAGCACTTAAATTATATTTTTAAAAGTATATCTAACATTTAATTTAGATTTTAGTTTTGTACTTCGTTGTAAAAAAATGAATGTAATACCCCAAACTTTAGTTAGTGATCAAAATGTAAATTTTGAAAGTTTGGTGGCCAAAGTACAAAGATTGGAAAATTTTAGGGATTAAAAGGGTAAGTTTCCAAAAGTTTAGGGACCAAAAGTATAATTTTCAAAAGTTATATATTTTAGCTGGTAAATGAATAGTTCACCCCAATAATGAAGTTCGGGTAGAAATTAGATTCTTGATCCGAAAATTGTGTTAAAAGCTACAAAGTGTTAAAGTTCGATAAAAATTCGATAAATCGAATCGAATAGAAATTCATGAAAAAACTAAAGGTTATTAAATCAAACTTATAAATACTATTTACACATGTTAAAATGATAAAAAAATAATGGTAACCATTGGATTTGAGAATTTATCTTCATGTTCATTTTGGATCATTGGATGAAAAATGCACACTTGTTAGTTTTGGTATTCAAACTTTAGTTTTATTATTTTCGTTTTAGCACTTAAATTATATTTTTAAAAGTATATCTAACATTTAATTTAGATTTTAGTTTTGTACTTCGTTGTAAAAAAATGAATGTAATACCCCAAACTTTAGTTAGTGATCAAAATGTAAATTTTGAAAGTTTGGTGGCCAAAGTACAAAGATTGGAAAAATTTAGGGATTAAAAGGGTAAGTTTCCAAAAGTTTAGGGACCAAAAGTATAATTTTCAAAAGTTATATATTTTAGCTGGTAAATGAATAGTTCACCCCAAGAATGAAGTTCGGGTAGAAATTAGATTCTTGATCCGAAAATTATGTTAAAAGCTACAAAGTGTTAAAGTTCGGTAAAAATTCGATAAATCGGATCGAATAGAAATTCAGGAAAAAATTAAAGGTTATTAAATCAAGCTTAAAAATATTATTTACACATGTTAAAATGATAAAAAAAATAATGGTGACCATTAGATTTGAGAATTTATCTTCATGTTCATTTTGGATCATTGGATGAAAAATAGAAGGATTGAAATTTTGGAAAGATTGCATGGACAAAGTTGTAAAGGGCAAGAATTTTGGTTCATATTTGACTTTATAAAGATAAGTGTTATGTGGCTTGGTATGAACGTAAATATAAGGATTCATTAATGACAAAATTGTCATTCTCAATTAAATGAATTTTAAATTCATTTACATTTAAATACATGATAAATTAACATGAATTTAAGGAGAAATTTCATGAAAGTTGGGTATTTTTCAGCCCCTTAGCTGTGAGCTTCATGGAAAAAGGTGAGAAATTTTATTTTGCATTTTCAAGCAATTTCATTGGGATTTTTGATCGGCTGTGAAATAGAAAATTATTATATTAGAAAAGTGCTATCATTTGGTTCCATTATTGCATGCTAATCTTGTTTGTATTCAAATATCCCAAATTCTAAGGTTTATGTTCATGTTAGGGTTTTAAGAAAAGACAATGGATTTTTATGTTATTGAGGTTGTAGAATCATTTACAAGCTTGATTGATAATTAAAAACACTTATACAAGACTATTCATGCTCATGTTGATTTTAGCCTAACCCTAAATTTGGGGGGGGGGAATTATGATTTCACGAAATTAAGTTAGGGGTTTGATTGTAGAGTTCTTGAAATGATGAATCAAGGTTGATTTCATGCTCGAATCAAGTGAAACCCTTAACACCCTAACCCCTAAAGTGTTCGACCCTAAGGAAGAAATCAGGGAATAATTGTGAAAAATTCCCCTAATCTTAGAAATGATATTTGGAAGGTTCTATAAGCTTTAGAAAATTATTTGGGCCAATTTGTAATTTTGTAAAAGTTTGGGGACCTATTTTAAAACTATGAAAAGTTATGGGATTAATATGTAATTGTTAAATATTTGTTGCACTATGATGGAAATTTATATTAGCGTGTTGAAATTGATGTTAGAATGTGAAATTGGGTCATTTTGGGAAGTTGAGAAAAGTTGAGGATAAAATCATAAATATGGAAAAGTTGAAAACTTAAATGAAAATTTTATGTGAAGTTTGGATAAATTGGATAAAAATGAGTTGGAATGTTCTACTTGAAGTGATAAAATCAACATTTATGTTGTGACATGAAAATTGTATCGAATGAGCATCGAAATGTTTTTATGAATTTATTTTCCATTGTGGGTGTTAGTGAGATTCTAACATGTGGTTTCAAATGTGTATGTTATATAATGATGTCCATTTAGATTATGATTGAATTCAAGATCAAACAAAATTAGAGTTAAGGATGAATGTAAATTTCTAAGGAATGTTTGCAAGCTAAGAATGCTAAGTGAGTGCATATTTAATTCGTATTTATGCTAGCGTACAAACATTGGCTAGCAATGAAATTGTGACGGAGTTACAATGGTGAGAAGTGATCTAATAGAATTAGTGAATAATATGAAAATACAAGTTGATGAAACCTGCCTAGAAATTTTGTTATCATCAGTAAGTTTAGAAAATTACCATAAATTTTACAGAAATGATTAGAGGACGAATCTTATACTTTTGGATTCTTATACCAGTCTAGTTTTTTTAGAACAACCCGAAACTAATTTCTAGGAGTATATAAAAAGATATGAATTTTTAATCGAGGATAGGTCAGAAAACAGGGCATCAGATTTTGCTCAAAACAGTTTCTGTAAGTCAAGTTTGAAAATTCACTATAAATTGTACAAATTGAACTAGAAGAAACACCTTATATGGTTTGATTTTTATTCAAGTAAAGTTTATATTGGTATAACCATAATAATTTTTTAGTGAGTATATTAATACATAATAATATTTCTTTAAAGATAGTGGAAACTGCTAGAATACAAAATTGTGATGAACTTCTTAATAAAATCGAATTTAAAGCAGAGGATCAAGCTTAAAGTTTAGTGAGGCTGATATTTAGACTTTTATAAATAGTGTTAAAGTGAGTGCATTACTATATACTTATATGATACGAGGACATACGATGAGTCAACCTCGAGTGTTTTTACTAAGCATGTTTTTAACGCATTTTGAAGTATTTTCATAAAGTTTATGAAAATGATTTTATTGAAACATTTTAGGGTATGAACTACCCTAAAACAATTGGATGTATTTTACTCTATTTAACATTTGTTTAATATGCATTTTGGGATATAACAACATATTGTATGTATATTGAGAGTCATAGGTGCACTTCGACATACTTTGAGTATGATGGTTATCGATCGATTTTCTTTAATGCATTATT